CCGATAAATTCTTCCAACTTTCTTTTTTGGATCGTCCCAATAAATTCTTCCAACGTTCCAAAAAAGGAAACCAACTCATACTAAAAAACCTATTTTACCCTCCTCAATTAAAAATCCTATCCCATTTCATTCCCATCTCCCATTTACCCCATCCACATCCCTCTCTCCCATTTACTCCCACCGCCTCCTCTTTCTCTGTCACTGCATCCGTCTCTCTCAATTACTCCAACCGTCTTCCTCTCATTTACTTCAACCATAGGCCTGTGATTTGGTACTTCAATCAATCTGTGATGAGCATATGCCTGTGATGTGGTACTTTGGTCAATCTGTGATGCCCATAAAGAATGTCTTTCAGTACTTGTGTGTGGGGTGTATGCTGTAATAGTTGTTGTACATAAGGTCTGAGTATGCTGTTGTTGTACCAAAATGATGAAATCATTATGATCATTGGTAGTTCAGTATGCTTCTACTATTACAAAATGTCTGAGTATGCTTCTACTTGTACAAAAGGTTTGAGTATGCTTCTACTTGTACAAAAGGTCTAAGCATGTTTGTACTACTTCTAAATGTCTGACTGTCCTTGAAAATTAAGGCCTGTACAAAAACAAAAAATTTAAGGCCTATACTATTAAACCCAATATTCCAAAACATGGCAGTAGATGTACTTCATCACTGAAGATGATGATCATCATCATCTTCTTCAATTATGAAGTTCCACTGACTTTCAGTATCCCCTGCTTGTTGGCCTAGATTTGTTCTGTTTCTTCCAATAATTCAACATCTACCTCAATTGTATTTGGAAGCCTCCCTTCTGATTGCATCCTATCCTTTGCATTGTGTGGTAGCTTGTAATTGTTCCCTCCTTGCACTTTCATTACTTCAATCATAACATACTGATAACTTAGCCATAATTTGTTTAGAGTCATAGGTGATAGTTGTTTCAAAGCATCATCCACTGCATGTAACAGTTCATCAACTGTCTTGGGTGCATTCTGGTCTTTCAAAGATTGTATTGCCTTAAAAAACCCTAGGTCTAGGATGTTAAGGTCTGGAGAATTGGGTGGCTGGTTAGTAAGGGTGATAGTAAACCCATCAGCCATTGAAGCACTCATATACTCAACATCATTATGTGAAATGTGTGGCCTTTGCATTGTCTTGTTGTATTATGATTTCTTTGTTTAACTGTGGAGGCCATTTTTCCTTGATTGCTGGGAGGACTATGTTAATTAACATGTCCTTGAACACTTTCTTTGTTATGCTAAGGATAGGCTTGGTTTCCATAACACCCGCATTTCTGTTTTTGCTTCTTCTTTTTGCTGCAACCTGTTCAACAAATGGAAACATGCCTATTTTTCCATCCCAAATGACCTCACCACTTTCTGAAAATAGGGGCCTACCCACTGCACCAGGGACATTACCTTAGTTATGAACCTCTTAGATTTGCATACTCTGTGTGGATCAGTCTCTTCCAACCCCATGTATAATCTTTGAGATGTTTTTGTCATGAAAAACCATTTTTCATCAATGTGAATCACATTCTGAAATGTTTGAAAAGTAGGCTTTTGTGGCACTGACTTCTCTATCCGACTAAGACAGAACTTCAGTCTTTGCAATTTAGGATGTTTTTACTTGGACTATAATTTGCTGGTCTGGTCTGATCTGGTCTGAACTGGTCTTGTCTGCTCTGGTTTCATTGTATTATTATAACTATCCAAGGCTGGTCTGGTCTGAACTGCTCAAGTCTGGTCTGGTCTAGAAGGAATTACAGTCCAAGTAAAACATCCTTATTTGCATCTTCTGAGCTTACCTCTGTGAACCAATTTGTGGACACTTGACTTTGATATTGAGGTGGCAACTGCTAATGACCTTATGTTAGTCCTTTTATGCAGTGGGATCTGTGATATGTGAGATAGATCAAATTATATCTTTTTTCTGCCAGCCCACTTCCTACGCACATCTATTGCATCACCTTTTAGAACTTGCTTTTAACTATCTCCCAAATGCCAAAAATAGTTCTTCTGGACACTTCAAACTGTTCAACAAGTATAATGAAAATACCTTTCTGAGCTTTCAAGTCCCCCAAATAATCCCTCCAACTGGACATTAAGAGTGCATCTGCTATGCTATCTTTTTCAGGGTTTGAAAGCCTTTTTTCCTCCCCAATGCATCACCATGACCATGTGTTGTTACTATTTGCAGGTCTAGGGCTCCTGGTGTGGAAGAAGCTGAAGGAAATGTAGACGATGACAAAAATGAAGAAGAAGTTGCAGCTGTGGAAGATGAACTAGACATGGAAGCTGCCATTTTTTGGTGTGCGTGTGTGGAGTGTCTGCTGTAAGTGTGCGTGTGTGTGGAGTGTGTGATGGAAGTGTGTGTGTGTGTGTGTGAAGGGAATGAGGAGGGAGTAGTATATGTAATGAACTTAAAATTGATATCCCTCCTTTTTTTGGCCTTGCCGCCTCATTGTACGCACAATTAGCCATTTTGTGAATAGTGTTTACTATTCACATGTCAATCATATATACTTTTAATCATTTCTATCCCATTTATAGTTTTTACCCCACCTTTTACCCCTTCTTTACGCCATTCGGCCAAGGGTATAAAGGGAAAGTCAACCCCTTCAACTTTTTGCATAAACTTGTGATACCAGTCGAAATCGGAAGAATTCATCAGGACGGAGTGAGTAATACATTGTATTTTCTCCCTCCGTCTCTTAAAACTTTGTCATCTTTCCTTTTTGGGACGTCCAAAAAACGTTGTCACTTTCCCTTTTAATCAATTATTTTGTTGTTTGTGTTGTTTCTCTCTCCTCTGCACAAACCTAAATCACACAGTTTTTACTTTATTATTCTCTTTGCCGGTCAACTTTGGTAAAGTTTTAAGGGACGGAGGTAGTTTTTTTTTGAAAGATACATTGTATTTACTATATGTACCAATTTTGTTTTAAAATTTTATTGGGAGAAGGGCCAAAATGACACTAAGGTTTTTAATGAATCTCGGATTGAACGCTTAGATTTTCAGTGGACCAAATTAACACATATTGAAGCTTTTGCGTTCATTTTTAGCCATCCACTAACTTTGCCGTTAAACGGGCGTTTCCCCTGCTAAAAAGACGTCATTCCCTGCGATTAAACGACACCCCAATAAATACATACACAAGAACCCTAATTCTTATCACTCACCTATTATGTAGACATATTGCTTGAAGAAACGATAGCCATGGGAGGTAGTCCTTCACCATCAAGCTCTACAGAGCACCAATATTGAACACCATCAAACTTCAGAAGCAGCCCAATTTCGACCGTCTTTTCCTGGTATCCCTTTCTCTAACATCAATTATCAATTTTTTAATGCCCTTCGTCCCTTATGTGATTCTTGAATTCACATCAATTCTTGAATTCCGAAGTGATAGTGCCGCCGACTTATGTGATTCTGGACTTCGTCCCTTTTTGCTGGATCAACATGCCATTATGGGTCCAAGACAAACATTAATGGAGATAGGAGTGTAGGATACAGGAGGTATCACCATCTTTCTTTGTTTGGGAAACACAAATCATCCTCCCTGGATTCAGTCAAGCTTTGAGGCAATATTGAACACCAATATTCTGGACGGACGAGATATTGTAAATCTAGGGACTCGAATGGAATCCGTCTGAAAGTTCCACTCTGGACTTCATGGATTGATAAGAATCCAGGTTCTATGGTTGCCCGTATTATTAGTTATTTAAATTTGAAATTTTAAAAATTGTGCCACTCACCCCATTTGATGTTTTTTCATATTTGTGTTTATAGAAGGATGAATGCGGATTCTTTGAATCGCATGATGAGCCTGTGACAGATAAGCCAAACATTTTATCAATGATTTAAAAAGGAAGAACAGAAGACTTCACAATATAATATTGGGACTTGAGGAGGCCATACGTGCAGGGGAGGCCATACTGCAGGGGTGGAGTTTGATGAAACACCATTGTTGGGATATGATGATACCTTAAAACAAAAACTAGAGTTTGAAGTTGAAGAGCTTAACCGTACTAAAGTTGCAGAGCATCTGGAATTGGAGAGAGGAGCAAAATTAAAAAGGAACTATGTGATTGTAGTATTGTTGTGTGTCCTTGTGTAATGTTATGTATGCTTTTAAACGTCTTGTAAAATGCTTTCTGTTGTACTTGGTTTACTTTGGTATATGATATAACTTGTTTTTTTTTTTGGAATTCAATTGTGAGAATAGATGGGTGTGTTTGCTTTCTTATAAATTGGTTATACCATTCCTGAGTGGTAATGAATGTGGAGCAAGATGTAAAGTATAGAAATGGTAGGTGTTGTTTAGCTCAATAAGAGCTTATTTAAAGGTGTTAAAGGACTGCTATCATCTTTGATTCAAACCTGGAAAACTTTAAATTAGAAAGGAATACCTCATCACTTTTTCCCTTTTAACTGAGCACAATGTGTGAGGAGAAGTTTTAATAAGCACTTCAGTGCTTATTAAGTTGTGAAGCTGTTGGATCACTTGTACAACTTACAAATTATGAGCCAACTGTTTTCCAAAATAGCAGCAATAAGGCTATCAACATATCATAACTAATGCTTATTAACAGCTTAATGAATATCCAATGCATATTAACAAAAAAACACGTAAATGAATAAATGTTATACATATATTAGTAATGCTTAAGAACACCAGTAATATATTTAACAATACAAATGCAGCAGTAAGGCTATCAAAAGAAAAACATGATAAAAACACCTTTTTTGCATATTAGTAATGCAGCAGTAAGGCTATCAACATAACAACACCTAATTGAATACATTTATACATGTTATAAATATATTAGTAATGCTTAATAACAGCTTAATGAAGTAGTAATATATAAATTTAACATATTTCAAAAGCTTAATGATAGTTCATAATCTGTCATACAGTGTTCTTATACCAGACTATAAACAAACCTTCTAATATAGCTTATAAACACATGATACTATGAAGTACTAGCATTTGTATTGTTATGACAGAAAATTGAAAAGTAATCAATATTAAATATAATTAGTAATATCATTACTTAGCATCATTACAAGTAATATTATGAGTTATTAATGAGGTTACAAAATTCAAAATGCCACACAAGCCCTAATTTAACACTCCAAAGAAATAACTTGGTCATCATCCCACAAGTACCAAAGTTAATGTTGCCACCTACTATACCAAAAAACTGGCTGCTATAATAACATCCAAAAAGCCAAAAAGTATTTAAATACAACATTTAAATCTTCGTTCAATGCTGGTTGCTTTCTTCCCTTTCCAAATATTTAAAGGGGTGGTTCAGCCAGATCAGTGTGGACAGAAGAACCCTTCCTCATTTGACTCTTCTTTATCAATTGTCTTGTGCTGATTGGTTTCTTTCCACTCCATTGCTTTTAAACGTCCCCATTAATGTACTGTAGTTTAAGCTTCAAAACCCATCTCCCTCGTTCTATAGATTTGAAGCAACACAAACAGAAATACAAAATACCTTACACCTTCATCGTAGCAACATAGTCGCTGGGAGCTTGTTATCTTGCCATGAAGAATGAGTTAGGGTTGCAAAATTAGGTTGTGTTGTTTAATACTCCGTAGCAGGGAATGATGTCTTATTAGCTGGGAAACGTCCGTTTAAAGGCAAAGTTAGTGGATGGCTAAAAATGAACGCAAAAGCTTCAATATGTGTTAATTTGGTCCACTGAAAACCTAAGTGTCCAATCCGAGATTCATTAAAAACTTTAGTGGCATTTTTGGCCCTTCTCCCAAATTTTATTATGAACTTTTAAAGTATTATTCTAACATTTATTTTTTAAGTTGAAAATGGTAAGTGTAGCGGTATTTAAAAAAAGAAAAAGAAAAAAAGATTCGAGATCCCAAACAGGAACCCCACTTGTTTCAAATGAACGGGAAGTCTCATTCCTATTATCTGACTTTATGATAATCCGGTTCAGACCCATCCATTTAATGGTATCAGTGATTTTTTATTTTTTATTAATAATTCGGATCTACCAGGGCCATGCCTACCCTCAAAGGATAGACTCTATTTTTACTGAAATTACGATCAATTAATGCGGCTTTTGGTAATTATTGACAAAAGATAACTGCCTTTTATATGTATATTCCGGAGCAGTTTTCTTTCAAAAATCATTTGACGACCTTCCCAATTGAATTTTTTGCTCAAATTTGGTATGGGTGAACTAGACTTGATGAGAAACATACACAAAAAAATTCAGCCAAAAAAACCACCGGGAACCACTTCAAATTTGGGTTCTCATTTTAAGAGGGGTTCTCACTAGAACCCTCCTATATATATAGAGAGAGAGGGGGGGGGGGGATGATCCAGCCTCCACCATTTAGGACTGTTCTTGGTGTAAGTTTTTGATGAATTTTTATGAGCTTGTTCTTCATGAAGTGCAGATTATGTCCACTAAATTTCAGCTAAAAGTTCAATCGAGAAAGCAATCAAATAATTTTTTTAAGATACCCGCATCAAAATATACATATAAAACGCAGTTTTTTTCAAAAAATCATTTGAGTGCCTCCCCGGTTGAAATTTTAGCTGAAATTTTGTTGATATAATCTACATCTCATGAAGAACATGGTCAAAAAAATTCATCAACAAATTTCCCCGGGAATCGCCCCAAACGGCGTAGACCAGACGGAGCATCCTGTCCGGGAGGATGGACAAGATCTTTTCCTATATGTGTGTGTATATGTGTGTGTGTGTGTATCATTTTCATTTTCATTTACCCCAGTACCACAAAGGCTCCCACCTACAGTGGGGTAAGGGGGGGTCGGATGTACGCATTCTTACCCCTGTACTAAAGCACAGAGAGACTATTTCCAGATGACCCATAGTGAAAATCGCGTCCAAAATTGCATGGACTGACTGCTGCTTCATAACAAAGAAGGGCAGACAGTTTAGTGAGTCATTTTGCTTTATTCCATCATAATCTCAAGCCAAAAAATAATGAATCTTTGGCTCCATTGCAAATGATGGAAAAGTGTGTGTATATATATGTATATGTATGTATATATATATATATATATATATATATATATCATTGTTCTAAAAATCGGCCTAGGCGGTCCGATTAATCGGCCTAGGCGGCCTAGACGGCCATAACTGTAGAGGCCGAGTCGGCCGAGTCGGCCAAAAAATCGGCCTAGTCGGCCGCCTAGGCGCTAGGCGCCCCTCAACCGCCCGACTAGCGCCTAGCGAGTTTTAGAACAATGATATATATATATATATATATATATATGTGCTGGTCCGGTGGGACATAACACAGTCAGATCTTTTACTGAAATATAACTTGAGTTGAATGAGAACAAGCTCGTATATAGTCTCACTGAAGCTACCTCTATATCAAACTCTTCTCGAAACTCTTCTCGAAATAAGACAAAACATTCATTCTTACCTATTATCCAAGCAAAGAACAGTTACAGTTGACGAGTCTTCTTCCCAACACTCATTACATCATCAATGGCTTGGATGAAAGTAGCCATCTTGTACGTGAAAAATCCAACCAGCATTGGAATCAACTCAAGGTGCACAAGTCCATATTCCGGGACCACAATCCTTCACAAAAGGCACACGATGTCGAGTCACGTTGGGTGTATAAATGTCAACTATTGAATGTAAAAACTAATCCTTAAGCCCAGGGAGTTTAGTTCACAAAATGTTTGTGAAGTTTTCTGAATATTATTTCCTTGAATTCATTTACAAGAAGTACATAAGCTATTTATACAGATAGGAATCCTGAGAGAGTCTATTCAGCACCCTAGGTGACTGTCTAAATACTAAACATAAATGATTGAGAACTGAAAAGACAGCAGCTATTAAATACAACCTGAAGCACTAAAGATACATAATTACAGTAATAATAAGGAAAATAAATCCTAGATTAATGATGTCTCTTCGTTTTATCAACACTCCCCCTCAAGCTAGGTTTGTAGATATCCGTCATGCCTAGCTTGACAATAAGACCCTGGAACCTAGGACTGTGCAGAGGTTTGGTAAACACATCTGCAACTTGATCTTCTGAGGGAGTGTAGCTTAGTTCGATCAGACCTCCTTCAACCTTTTCTTTGATAAAGTGCCTATCAATCTCAATATGCTTGGTCCGATCATGTTGGACTGGATTATGAGCTATGTTGATTGCTGATTTGTTATCACACCTCAATTCCATTGGTCCTTTCCACTTGATTCGTAAATCTAAGAGAATAATTCTGATCCATAGAAGTTCACATAAGCCATGGGCAAGAGCTCTTAGCTCAGATTCAGCAGATGATCGTGCCACAACATTCTGTTTTTTGCTTCTCCATGTCACGAGGTTTCCTGCTAGGAAAACACAGAGACCAGTAGTTGACCGGCGGTCAACGAGGGAGCCACCATAATCTGCATCAGTGAAGGCTTGGACTGATAATTGCCCACCCTTCCTGAATATTATCCCTTGCCCTGGACTTCCTTTTAGGTAGTGAAGAACCCTATAGGCTGCTTCTAGATGTGGTTTCCTTGGATCATGCATGAACTGACTCAAAACACTAACTGCATAGGCAATGTCAGGTCTCGTATGAGAGAGATAGATAAGTTTGCCACACAAGCGCTGATACATTGATGAATCAACCTTGGGTTCATCAGTAGCAAGTCCAAGCTTGTGATTAGGATCCATAGGTGCATTAACCGGTCGACAAGCACTCTTACCGGTCTCATTTAACAAATCTGTAATGTACTTTTGTTGGCTGATAAAGATGCCTTCAGATGAGCGAGCAACTTCAATTCCAAGAAAGTATTTTAGAGGGCCAAGAGACTTCATCTCGAATTTGGATTTCAGCTGCCCCTCAAGACGTTGTTTCTCAACTGGATCATTACCCGTCACAATGATGTCATCCACATATACCAAAAGAATAGTGACTCCATTTGGGCGAGAGTGTTTGTAAAAAAGAGTATGATCCCCTTGGCTTTGACTATACCCAGCAGCAAGAACAACCTGTGTGAAGCGGTCAAACCAAGCACGAGGGGATTGCTTGAGACCATAGAGGGCTTTTTTTAAATGACATACATGTGTAGAGGTTCTTGTTGATGTTTTATTAAAGCCTGGGGGAATGTACATGTAGATCTCATCATGCAAGTCACCGTGGAGAAAAGCATTCTTGACATCAAATTGCAATAAAGGCCAATCAAAGTGAGATGCCAAGGATAGTAGGATACGGACAGTATTGAGCTTAGCTACAGGAGCAAAGGTCTCTTGATAGTCAATCCCATACGTCTGAGTGTATCCTTTAGCCACAAGACGAGCTTTGTACCGCTCAAGAGATCCATCAGCCTTGTATTTGACAGTAAAGATCCACCTGCAACCAACAACATGCCTCCCAGGAGGTTTAGTCACAATATCCCAAGTATGGTTCTTTTCAAGAGCTCTAATTTCCTCTTGCATAGCATCCCTCCATTCTTTCTTTCCTAATGCCTCAGAAACAGAGTTGGGTATGGGAATTTCATTAAGTCTCTGAACAAACAAGGCATGTGAAAGAGAGAAGTTATCAATGGTAACAAAATTAGCAAGAGGGTATAGAGGTGTTTTGGTACATTGACGTACACCCTTGCGTAAAGCAATTGGCGGAGATGGTGGTGGAGAAGAAGAGACATTACCTGGGTCAGCCAATTGGTCATGCGTCAACAATGGAGTGAACCTGTTTTTCCTTGAGTACACTTTTGTCACTGGTAGAGGAGAAGATGGGTCATGAGTGGTGGATTTAGTAGGTGTAGGAATGGGATGATCTGGTGGTGTATTTGATTGAGGTTCAGGTGATGTTGAAGACTGTTGGGAAGTAGGTGAGGTTGCTGACACATCTAAGGAAGGTGATGGATGATCATGTGGTGGTGGTGGTGATGGGATGTCTGGTGATAAAGGCTTAGGAGGGTAGGAGATTGTATGTGGTGGAGAAGATGTAATAGTATAGGTGGGCAGAGGTGAAGGATGTGGAGTATCTTGGGATACAGGGAGAGAAGTAGGAGTGTAAAAAGGTGTGTCTTCGTGAAAGGTCACATCTGCACTGGTGTATGTCTTTCTGGTTGTAGGATTATAGCACTTATATCCTTTCTGAGTTGGAGAATAACCAAGAAAGATACATTTAATAGATCGTGGGTCCAATTTTCCCCTATGAGGTGGAGGAATATGAACAAATGCAGTACACCCAAACACCATTAGATCAAGATCAGAAGAAATTCTGGTTTGAGGAAAGAAATGACGGAGAGATTCAAGGGGTGACTTATTTTGGAGTACCCGACTGGGAATTTTATTGATGAGATGACATGCTGTGAGTGTGGCTTCCCCCCAATAGTGTTTAGGCATATTTGATTGAAACAATAAAGCCCGACTGACGTCTAGGAGATGGCGATTTTTTCTTTCTGCTGTGCCATTCTGTTGTGGTGTGTACGGACAAGAGGACTCATGAACAATGCCTTTTGAGAGGAAATAAGAGGAAACGGTTTGATTGAAGTATTCAAGAGCATTATCAGTGCGGAAGCGTTTTATTGTGGCGGAGAACTGATTATGAATCATATTGCAAAAGATAGGAATGATGGAACTCACCTCACTCTTGTTTTTTAGCAGAAAAACCCACATAAAACGTGTACAATCATCAATAAATGTAACATACCACCGGGCACCAGATATATTAGCAATTGGAGCAGGACCCCAGACATCACTATGTATAATATCAAAAGGAGAACAACTGATTGTATTACTTCTGGAAAAAGATACACGAGACTGTTTAGCAAGTTCACAGACATCACATTGAAATGTAGAAACATCAATACTACTAAAAAGACTGGGAAACATGGTTTTTAGGACATGAAAAGAGGGATGACCAAGACGCTTGTGGTGAAGCCAAATAGTGTTGGTATTGGCTGTGATTGTGGTAAGAGCTTTTTGTGGAGGTTTGGAGACAAACAGTGCATCAAGGTAGTACAGGCCATCTCTTTGTTTAGCAATTCCAATCGTCCTCCCCGTGTGTAGATCCTGTAATAAACAGTGGGAAGGGAAAAAAATGGCAGCACAATTAAGATCAACTGTGAGTTTGTAAATAGAAGCAAGGTTCATAGCCAGGTTTGGGACATGTAGGGTGTTTTTCAGATTTAATTTTTCAGAAAAAACAACCGTACCAAGTCCCGCAACCTTTGTAGGTGTCCCATCAGCAGTAGTAATGTGCGTGGATGTAAAACATGGATGATAATTAGAGAGTAAAGAGGGTATGGCAGTCATATGAGATGTGGCACCTGAGTCTAATATCCATTGGGATTGTGAACTCTGTTCCGAAGCATTAAGACAAAAAATAGTAGAGGTTTTACCTTGCAGGGCCAAAGAGCTATGACCAGAACCATTTGAGTTATTAAGAGACTGTAACATCATACGAATTTGCTTTAATTCCTCCTGGGAAATGGGCCAAAGATTAGTAGAGCTCTCAACAATAGTGGGAGTGACTGAGTTGGCACGTCCAGCACTCATTCCACGTCTGTCTTGGCTTTTCCTTTCTTTCTGTAGATGAGGATAAAGTTTCCAGCATGTATCCACATTATGGTTGGACCGCTTGCAATGATCACACCATCTTCCTCCCTTACTACCCTTAGTTTCCTTAACATATGAAGGAGTAGATTTGGCAGCAAGAGCTGTACTGTCAATCAGATTTGTATTCATCATTATATTGCGTCTGCTCTCTTCATGTTTGATAGTGGCAATGGCAGAAGATATGGAAGGCAGAGGAGTAATGCCAAGAATTTGACCCCGAGTCTGATCATATTCGGGATTTAAACCAGACAAGAAGCAATATAGACGTTGCTGATTTATATAGTTCTTGTGAAGAGCTGCATCTGCAGCATTCGACCACTTCATCGTTTGATACTGGTCAAGTTCAGACCATCGTCGTTGGAGGTCAGTTGCATAATCTGTGACAGATTGTGAATCTTGCTTAAGATTCGTTGTTTTGAGCCATAAGTCATAGACAAAAGCGCCATCTTTAGCAACAGAGTAGGACTGCTGTATGAAATCCCAGATTTCTTTAGCCGAGTCCATGTATAAACATGTACTGCTAATGTTGGGATCCATAGAGTCCCATAACCAGACCCGTACGTTGGCATTAGTTTTCTCCCAAATAGCAGCATCAATCTCTCCTTCTTCTGGGGTAGAGACAGTGAGATAATCTTCAAGATCTTTGCCACGTAGAAGAGTGTAAACCAGCTTTGACCACCCAAGATAGTTCCTGCCATTGAGACGGTAAGATGGCGGGATAGAAGGGAGATCAAATTTCTGGTTTCGAAGAGCAAACGCGGCTGCAGTAGCAGCTGAAACAATGGTTGAGTGATCAAGGTTACTTGAGGCTGATTCGGCTTCTTTAGACATGATAAAACCCTTGATGAAGAGACTCCACCGGGAGTTAAAGAGAAGGGTAGAGACACCCAAAAAATGACCGTTGGAGAGGTGATAGACTGACTCAAAAAAGGCTTAGACGAAACCAATCTCTGATACCATGAAGTTTTCTGAATATTATTTCCTTGAATTCATTTACAAGAAGTACATAAGCTATTTATACAGATAGGAATCCTGAGAGAGTCTATTCAGCACCCTAGGTGACTGTCTAAATACTAAACATAAATGATTGAGAACTGAAAAGACAGCAGCTATTAAATACAACCTGAAGCACTAAAGATACATAATTACAGTAATAATAAGGAAAATAAATCCTAGATTAATGATGTCTCTTCGTTTTATCAACAGTTTGATTACCAAGGAAATGTGGAATTACAAGAATATAAGATTACCTTGTGTGTTTTGGTTTAACATAATAAAAGTGTAAATAATCTGTTCCTAAGCAAATATAACAAAACCTATGTCAGGGACACGATCATAGATTAACCTGGTAATCTGAAAACCCAAACCAAACAACATAATCTCACATCACCTCCCTCTGAAAATTTTAAGCTCAAGCTAAACGACCATTAAGCAAAGATCTAGCAAACGGATTTACCTGTTCCACCGGTTATAGATCATAACCAAGACAAGAGGAACCAATAGTCTAGGCTGCCCTATAGCTCCTCTGAAAGGGATACCAAAAATGCAAGCAGCTTATTGAACAAAACAAAAAGTAGTTCCTGCATTGCCGGGGGACACTTAACAGAGTTAATAACAAGATGCATAGTTTAAGATAATACATACTTAATGATGGCTCGAGGTCCCTGTGGTTGTATTGAATCCACACTGTTCCCTAGCATGCGCATGTATGCCAATGAACCAAGCAAGCCGACACCATAGCTGCGCACATTATGCGAACATAACATTTGCTTTGAGACTTTGAATTGCACACATTGATACAAGCTTTTTTTAGAAGGTGTGTGTTGGTCCATCTACGCTAGATATGGTTTGCTCACTTGGATTTATAAAGAAAAAACCGAAAATCCATCTGAACAACTTAAATTGGTCAATTTCGGTCAGTTTTAAACATAAATAAAAAAACGAAATGCCTATGGTTGGATTAGGTCTGACCGGTCCAGTTCCAGTCAATTTGGTCATCCCTACTTGTAACCATAGGTTGCAAAACAATAAAAGCATAATGGCACAGTATTTTTCGACTGAGGTGAATGAGTTCATGGGAGCACATACTCAAGGTTGTCAAGGCAGCCATGAAAGGCACAGCCCCCACCGCCTTGTCGCCCAAACAACAAGTGACCATATGCAAAATTGAATGCAATACGCTATCAAATATAACACATGAGCTACTAATCTACCATATCAATAAAAAACAAGGGTTTAATATCCATTTCCATCACACTAAAGCACAAGATTTTAGCAAACAAATAAGGATTTGATTAAAGTGATAGCTATCTAGAAGAACGGAACAAAAAGTCATAAAGTATACAAGTTAAATACAAAGATAAGTAAACTAAAATGACTAAAATGGAATAAGGAAGAGGCATACTTTCAGCATCATTTATTTTTTGTTTTTCTTTCTTTCTAAAGTGTGATCCAAACTCCGCGATGTGATCATATTATGGTGCTCCGCGATGTGATGATATTATGGTGTCGTGCATGTCCAAAGCCAGAATAAAGGAGGGTTGTGATAGGCGCATGACGCCCAACACTATAACTTAGTTAAACAAGTACATTCCAGGACTTCAAATCTAAACAACAACAACAACCAAGCCTTGATCCCAAAAGAATTTGGGATCGGCTAACATGAATCGATCTATGATATCGATGCCAAACAGAGAGACAAACGGGGGAGTAAGATAAAACGGATAAAATAAAGCTAAATAAATATAAGATAACAATAAAATAAGAATATAAGAAACATAAAAGATAGAAAGACAAAAGAGCATAAAAAGCTAAAAGATAAAAATAACATAAGAAATATAAAAAGATAAAGAAGATAAACGATAAAAGAAAAGCGAGAGGAAATGTAGAAAAGACATCAATCGTCCACATAGATGTGCGCCCTCCACTTTGCTCTCGCCAAAGTAATACTCTCATCCAACCCAAGAAGATGTATATTAGTTCTGATTCCTCTAATCCAAGTCTGTTTGGGTCTTCCCCTCCCTCTCTTCTCTGTCTTTTCTCCCCACCCCTCAAGTCGTCTAACAGGTGCATCACTCAGCCTTCTACGTACATGGCCAAACCACCGTAAACGAAACTCCTGCATCTTATCTTCTATAGGTGTTACTCCCACCTTTTGTCTGATTATCTCATTCCTCAAGCGGTTTTTTCTGGTATGTCCACACATCTAACGCAACATACGCATCTCTGTCACACCCATCTTTTGAATGTGGCATTGCTTCACCGCCCAACACTCTACGCCATATATTAATGCAGGCCTAATTGTTGTTCGATAAAATTTACCTTTCAGTCTAGTCGGCATACCTCGATAGCATAGAAATCTTGATGCACTCTTCCATTTCATCCACCCAGCTCTGATTCTATGACATACATCTCCATCTAATTCACCATCCTTCTGCATTATGGAGCCCAAATAACGGAACATATCACACACCAGCATCTCCTTACCATCAAGAGTAATCCCATTGTTGTTATTACTTCTACCTCTACCAAACTTGCACTCCATATACTCAGTCTTGTTTTGGCTCAGTCTGAAACTCTTGGTCTCCAATGTTTGTCGCCATACTTCCAACTTCGCTTTAACACCGGATTGCGTCTCATCAATCAATATAATATCATCAACAAACATCATGCACCACGGTATATCTTCTTGAATTGACTTCGTAAGTTCATCCATGACTATAACAAATAAGAAAGGACTCAGAGCAGATCCTTGGTGCACTCCGATAGTAATAGACTAATAGGGAACTCTGCGGCCCTCACTATACTAGTGCGGACACTTGTAGTACAAGCATCATACACAAGGGTAGTCAAAGTCGAAAGGCGCATTTGAAGCGCTAGGGGCCTTCCAGCGCCTGAAGCGCAAGGCGCAAATAAAGCGCTCGCCTGACTCGGGTGAAGCGCATTACTTAGATAAAATAACATATACTATTCTATAATTACCAAATATGATGTATGTAACATCATATTGAACCAAATGCATATAAAATCCAGGATTCACCAAAATGAAGTCATGATTTACAAAAAATAAAACACCAAATTCAGAATTCATGGCTTTGATACTAAAACTATAAATAAAAGACAATCAAATTGGAGCCTATTTCCCCTTGTTAAACTTGTGAGCCTACATAGTACTATTACTTTATTAATAACATAGCAATATACTAGTGTTGTGAGTATCATAGAGTAATAGAGTATTATGACTATTATATACAAAGCAATATACTAATGCTGTGAGTAATATAGAGTAATACTGAGTACTATTACTTTATTATATACATAACAATATACTAGTGCTGTGAGTAATAGAGTAATGCAGAGTATTAATACATTATCACGAGTAATATAGAGTATTATATAATATATACATAGTAATATACTAGTACTTTATTATATACATAGAAATATACTATAAGAGTATTTGGATGAAGAAGACTGCATGAAGAAGAACACATATCTTGTTTAGTGGTGTGAGGGAGAACTGAGTTTGCTTAAGATGATGAAGAAAACTGAAAAAACTGGCTGGTGTAGAGCAACTGAGTCAGAAGAGTGAGTAGGTTGAAGAGCCGATGATGGCTAGTGATATAACTTAGTCGCGAGGTTTTAAGTTTTTACGTACTTTACTTAAAGCTTTTACGTAGGTTTAAATGGTTTTACCCTATTATTTAGATGGGCTGAGTGTTATTAAAGATATGGGCTAATTATTTTTTAAAGTTTTAAACCAAAAAAAAGGCTTGTCAGCCTTTTCTGGATCAGGCGAGCCAGGCGTGCGCCTCCTGCGCTTCAGCGCTTCATGCGCTTAATGCGCTTATTCTGCACCTGGCCCAGGTACGTGCGCCTCCCCTTCTCCCAAGCGCTGAAGGCCCTGCTCGCTGCGCCTGGTGCGCTTAAGCGCTGGGGCGAGCGCTTTTGACTACCTTGATCATACATATCCATGATGATACTGATATACTTACGTGATATGCCTTTTCTAGTTAAGGCCCACCAAAGGACTTCTTGAGCTACCCTATCATATGCCTTTTTTAAGTCAATGAACACTAAATGCAGATCCTTTTTTGTGTCTTTATACTTCTCCACAACTTGCCTAAGAAGGTGAATGGCCTCAGTTGTTGAGTGTCCAGGCATAAAACCAAATTGATTCCGAAATTTTCACACTTTTGCAAAGTCTTTGCTCAACCACCTGCTCCCAAAGTTTCATGGTGTGACTCATAAGCTTAATCCCTCGATAGTTGGCACATTCTTATACATTACCCTTATTTAAATACATGTAAATGACAGAATGTAACAAGTGAGCATTGTAGCCCACGGTTCACACCCTAATACAAAGTTGAAAGGTCATAGGTTCAACTCCCGCAAGTGTTAGATTTGTTATACTACGTAATTATCTTAAAATACACCCAAAATTCGATGACACAGAATGACGTGGCATAGGTGGCGTGGTGTGACATTTCAGGTTGGGTGACATGGAAAAAAATATCCTAGTTTGGGAAATAAGTTTGAAAATACCCCAGTTTGGTAAATAAGTTTTAGAACTAACCCTCCACGGGAAAAAACTCTTATTTATTTAGGTCAATCTTCTGATTGACCAGCGACCGACGAGCACGCAACACCCACCTGACGACCACCCAGTTTAATTTAATCTTCTGTGTGCTCGTCGGAAGAGATAAGTTGAACTCGTACATAACATCATATATCTGATTTATAGCGTGGACATTCTGGAATTGTCTACTTCCATCACCAAAGGATTGTAGGACAGTTCTTTCACGAATGAAACCGAGATAGAGGAAATCATTTGACAAACTCCTTGAAATTGTAGCCTCAGAATCTCCAGCTGCCACCCTTTCCAAATAAGCTTTAAGCATGAGAGCTTTCAACCCATCATCTCTTGGCCATTACAACTTTTGAAATAAGCTACCTTCCTTCCTAGCTTTCAACAACTCCTTCCCTGTTCCCAGGTGTTCACTCATGTTCACCTGAAAGGCATCCCATCGCCTCACATCATATAGGTCTTGCATGGCCTTTGCAGCCCCTTTTTTTGTTTCTGGGAATGCGCTTCTTTCAATAAGAGGTGTTCGCGCGTTAACTGGCAGCTCATGGGCGGCACATCTCCAACTCCATACTCAATAGGTGGATGGTTAGAACTCCCCAACTTAAAAAGTACAGTAAACGCATTAGAAAATTCAGAATACATTTGGAATACATGCTCCAAACGCTTCACAGATGGGGTCAGACCCAACAAGTTGTGGATCCTTGCCATCAAGAGAAAGTAAATGGACACAGTCTACTGGTGTTATTCCAACTAGCAGGATATTCAGCATTGGTGCTTAACAGCTCGAGTGGTTTTCTTTTCCAGAATACTCTGCAAAAACTGGTGGAGACCACAACTTAGTAATACAGTAGGCAGTGTGTTCCCCTTCAACGACACTCAGTCTACCATTTGTTGTCTCAATAGATGCAGTGATTTTATCTTCAACGGAAGCCTGTCAACTAAGTGCAAGGGCGTTTGCTACCCCACATATTTTTCCCATCTCAAAATCATCAAGTAATATCATCATGTGATATATTATTTTGATAATAAAACTCTCTCTTTCATCCGCTGAAGCTCCTCCTGAAGCATTGGCATTGGTGTTACCATCCCCCCATCCTGTGGTTGAAACAAAGAATTATCCAAATAGTCAAGCAATTCTTCCCCTTCTCGCGTA